AAACCTGACCCTGATCAGTGGTACAGCTGTTTTGCAAGATGTATGGGACAGTCAACTAGCAAACTGGGAAGTTGGCATAGGAAGTGTTTGAGATAGAGAGATTTATAGAATTTTTAGGAAGCATTCCATATGTTGTGCCGGGGACAGAATCCAGCTTACTTCAAGGTAAGCTCCCTACTCATTTTACTATCTCTCTGGCCCCAGAAGCATTTCCTTTAGGGATCATGAAATTGAGTGTCCCCTCTGTTTCTTTTCATCCCAGTACTTTCGGTTGACTTAGTTTTGTTCCAATTTCAGAGAGGGTACAGCTCATGGCATAGATATGAAAGTCTTGGCGAGTGGCAGAGCAGGATCAGAATTCTACCCCATATCATGCCTACCGTTCCACAGTACTGTTGTTCTCAGTGTTCCATCTGTGTGTAGAGTCATGTGAGCTATGTTATATCCATTTCATAGGCAGCAAAATGGAAGCCTGATAGTCACAAAAACAGCATTGGAGCCTCACCCTTGCAGTATAATCAGACCTTAGGGGAAGTCTCTAGATACAGTTTATTATGTCTTCTCCCAAATTCATTGTCTCTGTATGCCAACTACCTACATAATATGATTGTAATATGGTTGAATTAAATATCATAGCTAGAAGCCCCTTGTAGAAACTGCCACAGGGAGTAGAAAAAGAGATAGAGAGCCTGCAGGAGAATCAGCCAGTTATTCTTGTTCCATTTCAGGCAAAACCTGGAGTGCATAGGTTAGAGTTCATCTTCAACAAAATCACCAATGACTCCATGCAATATGCATTCAAAGTCATGGCCATTAAATTTATGAGTACCTTGCTCTCTCTGGAACAGGCACTCTAACCACACTATGTGTAAGAGTCAAGCAGTACAGTGAGGGGGATTGAAAAGGGGAAAAAGCCTGAGAGGGGAGAGGGAGGAGAGTACTATAATGCAGAGAAGGCTTTGGGGAAGTAGAATCTTAGCAGTCAGAGCCATTGGGGTGGTTGCAATTCAATAAAATTGCACCTATTCAGCCAAAAGTGGTGAGGAGAAGAAGCAAATGTAACAGCTCATCTTAATAGTGAGCTACCTAAGCTTGAATCTGGAGGTTCAAGTCATGCTGCCACAGTTCTATTTTGTTTGCACCCCATTGTTGGTTCTGTTCTTCTCAGCTGTTCTTTTCATTAAGGTCTAGTTACTGAGCAGTGGCTTGATGACTGCTTGAAGTTCCTTCTTCCTCCCTGAGCTTTCAAGAATCCAATAGAGAGGGGAAACCTTCTTCCTCCTCTCCATACTTCAGTTGATGTAGAAGTATTTTGTCTAGGAACATACTTCACTGTACCCAATATGATGGAGTTTACGGATTGGACAGGCCTAATTAATGGACCCACCCTTTGATCTGGGAAGGAGGAAGGGTGATATTAATCTTATCCAAACTATGTGAATTAAAGGATAGTGAGAAAGAAAGAAAACCTAGAAGAGAAATGGATGCTTGACTAGTAGAAAAATGACTCATGTCTTCTGGGTTCAGGTCTGAGAATTTCTTGTAAATGATCACTAGGTCAGTGAGTTGGTGGAAAGGAAAGACTCATCAAGCCCCAAGTCTCCAAGTCACCACTGTTTAATAAGGCATTATAAGGTGTTGGAGTTGTTCTCCATTTTTATTTTCAGTACTGTAGTCACTGGCCACATTGGGCTATGGAGAACGTAGGTGTGACTGGCATGATAAAAAATTTTTAAAATGTAGTTGATTCCAGTTAAACTTAATGTAAATTCATGTGATAGTGGCAGCCAGAGTAGACAGAAACTCTTACGGAGACCACATCATGGGTTTCCTGGAAGACAAGACCCAATATTATGTAGGAGGAGAAGGGGATGCTGTTGCATACAGCCAAGAAGACTAGGTTGATGAAGCTGATTTGGTTCAGGTGACGGAGTATGAGGAAAGGGAGTTTGGATATGAGAGAGGAAATAAAAAGAACAAAATGAGAGAATCCTTCATCTGTGAACATTATTTGGAAATCCTTAACCTGATAAAATATGTTTCCATCTAATATGTGGACCAGATTTGTACCAGGAAGCAACAGAATTGCAACTGACCATGTTATAAAGAAGTAGAAGAGGGCCAGAGTGATAGTATAGTGGGTATAGGGCATTTGCTTTACATACAGCTGACCTGGGTTCAATCCCCAGTACTATATGTTCCCCTAAGCACCACCAGGAATAACTCCTGAGTGCAGAACAAGAAGTAATCCCATGAGCCTTGCAGGATGTAACCCACCTCCCAACCCCTACAAAAATGTTAAATTAAAATAAAAGAAGTGGAGCAGACTTTTACAACATGATGTTGCATTTTACTCTGAATGTACAATAGAAGCACTGTTGCTTGAAGATCATGTTCTGCAGAGGACATGCAGCTGGCAATAGAATAAAAGGAAACCCAATAGGATTGCTTTGTTACTGAAAACGACAACAACAACAACAACAACAACAACCAACAACACACTCCAATGTAAACCCTGTGACAGCGCACTTATGTGCCTTTGGCATAAATGGGAAAAGGTGAAAAGAAGGAATTTTTAAAGGCAGGCTCTGGCCCCAGTGATGTAAGCCAGACCCCTGTGAATCCCAGCTTCTCTGACAGCAGTGAAATGGTCATATCATCACTCTGTGTGTCCTGCAGAGTACATGGGGCCTTTGAGGGATGGTGCTTCTAGAGTCAGAGTCCTCTTAGTGGCCACCATTCACCCATACAAGAAGGGAATCTGTTCTGATTCGCTTCTGTTCACCTGCACCTAGTACTCTGGCTCCTCAGACGCACTTGCCTGCCTGGATTTTCTTCACCTGGGACATGCCATATATTCAATAGTCTGCTGGGTCTTGGGCCTTGTACAGGAAGAGAAGAAGCACTGACTTGATTCCTAGCCATGTGGCTGCCAGGTCCTGCATTCCTCTCTCCAACCACTCCCCCCCACCCCCCACTGCCCCCCTACACACACACCAGTAGACTCAGTGCAGCCCTACTGCAGAGATTAGGCAGCATGATCCGTGCTGGGTGTGCCATGTATGAAAGAAGAGCAGCACAAATGACGTGGGCTTAGAGTAGAACCTGGGCCAGGCAGTTTGGAGATGTGTAGATCTGGGAATTGTGTTGACCCTCAGTATCCTTATCTGCAAAAGGAGATGCTTGAACCTCTCAGGGCTGTTGCCAGGACTTAAATTCCTGGTTTTTCTTTTTTTTTTCTTTTTGGGTCACATCCGGCAATGCACAGGGGTTACTCCTGGTTCTGCACTCAGGAATTACCCAAAGCAGTGCTCAGGGAACCATATGGGATGCTGAGAATTGAACCCGGGTCGGCCACATGCAAGGCAAATGCCCTACCCACTGCTCTATTGCTCCAGCCTGATTCCTGGTTTTTCTTAAAGACCCAACATGAAGCAGGCTTCAGTCACTGGCTGCAGACCTCAAAAGGCTCTTGTGACTGGAATGAGCATTTCTAGGATTTGCTACAACTTCATATCCAGTTTTGATTCACATTAAACCTGTGTTTTAACCAAGTGGGTACCATGAGGAGCAGAATCTAACTTTACAGCAGTTTTTCAGCCAACCTGCACTGCACAGTTTTTTAGCATTCTGATGGCCTTAAACCCCCTGCTACTGCCTGTGGAGCCCACAAAAGACAACCACATTGAGATATCCCTAGGCCTCTATGGTCTCTGCAGATTCTGAGACAAGTTTCAGGGTCCTCCAGCTCACTTGTCATGTCTAGGTGTCACTATTAGTGCTGAGGACACGCTTGGAGCCTTGGTGGGTTTCAAGGCAATGAATAAGAAAGAGCCACTCCTCAGACAGGAAATCAGCAACCAGAAGAGTAGGTCCCCTCACGCCCTTCCTGGTCTGGAGGAATATGAAGACTCTGGACAGCTTTTCTTGAAATGACAGGATAAGGATAAATAATTGATCTAATTAATTATGAGTCAATTAGGAAATAAGGGCAGAATAGTTGTACTTCTATGAATGTGGACTTTGGAGATGTACATTTCCCCTGTATTCCCCCATATTCCTGTGTCCCTAGGCATGCACCAGGACCCACTCTTACCCTTTTGATAGAAAGCAGAAATACAGTGGGTTGGAGGTGGGTGTCCACAGTTACCTTTCTTTCTTTCTATTTAATTAGTCTTCACTTTCCAGTACTGGACTTCTGTGGAACCAGCATAGGCAATCTCAAGTCTATTACTAAGTTTCCTTCCCATTTTGCACATTTCTTGAAAGTTTCCTGATTTCTAGTCAGCATCTCCCTTGCTATAATCACATTTCTTGTGTGTTGATTAAGTATTTCTCCTCACTCCTTGGAGATGGATATTGGGCACCTTCTGAGTGTCAGCTGTCATGGAAGTGGGAGGCAAAGAGGGCCATTAAATCTGCATGCCCTGTCATAGAAATGTCAGATCTTGTGTGAAAGAATCATATCAGATCATTGCATGCCTCTGATCTGTGTGCATCTGAGCCTAGAGCTGGTAGCAAGGGGTCACTGGGAAGCATCCTAAGCCTGTCTCAGAGGCTGAGGTCTGGAAAAACTTGGTAGGAACAAGGTGAGAACCAAGCTGAGTTCCCATAGCTGATGGGAAAGTCCATGGCAGGGGGGTTCAGAAGTGGTTGAGTTTGTGCCAAGAGCATATCAGGATAGGAGAGAGGACAGAAAGGCATGGGGGTGTAATAAATAAAGGGGAAACCAGGAATTTTAGACTAAAGAAGTTCTCACCAGAGTTGAAAGATTTTTTTCCCCTATAATATGTAGACAAAATTTTAAAACAAAAAAGGATACAGAAGGTAAATTTTGCATTGAGAAGTTCTTATGTTTTGAATTTGGAAGGAGGAAAACAAATTGTGACCTCTTGGGTCTGAGGATTATTGGTCTGGCCTGAGACTGAGCCTGTTCACTCAAGGTTGGAGTCTCAGATAATAGAACGGATGCTAATGGATTTTCTGCTTTGTTGTTTCAGCACTTCAGGGAGCATCTGGACAAGCTTTTTGCTCAAGGCATCGGAATGCTGGACATTGCTCTGAATGAGGCCTTCAACATCCTTAGCGACGTAAGCTTCAATTTGCTTTCTCTTTCTCACTTCCAGGAGAACATTGGTGTGTGTTTTGTGGGGTTTCCTTTTGTGGCTGTGGACCAGTACCTGCTTTTTTTTTTTTTTTGCCCAGACACAAGATGGGAGGAAGAGGTTGGCCACTTGAGTTCCTGGGAAACCAAGTCCAGTCTGGGAGGCCAAGTCAAACCCTGTTGGGTGTGGTTACCGATGTTCAGTTTGGATACTGGCCTGCCACACTCCTTGGCTCTGGCCCTCTTTGTCAGACTGTTGGAACTCACCATCTCAAGCTGTTGCTTTTTCCTGAGGCATTTCAGGTTTTTCATCCAGTACTCTCAGTTCACATTACCCATCTCCCTCCTCCCCTCCCTTTTGTGTCCTAATGAAGAAAGGCTTCCCTGTGCTGTGTTTAGAGAATCCTCTCCTCCATCTTTCATCTCTCCCAGACCTTTATTGAGGTGCCATTTGCAGCAAGTGTATTCAATTCTCCAACGAACATTGCAGGAAGAGAAACTGCTCCTCCTAGTATTCTACACTTTATTTATAGAAAACAATGTGAGCTACAAGGCAAAGAAGCCCTTTTCAAGTAGCCCTAGTTCCCATCCTGTTATAGATGTTGGGGAATCCTGAGCAGCTGATGCCCACCCCTTAAATCCAATTGTGTTTCTAGAGCATCATATTCAGCTGGCAGCTTTTGTACTTTCATTACTTTGAAGGGAGCTAGCAGGAAAAATAATGACTATCTTTATTAATGTCAGTCTGTAGGTTTATTTATGCAGCCATTCTCTGTTTTGTATGTTTTTAACCTCAGACATTCAGAATATAATGGTAAAGAGAATAGAGAAAAGGTTGAGCTTTAATTGATCTAGGGAAAAGGCAGTAAACAGTCTCCTAGAAGCACAATACAGCCTTCTTCCTGTTTTTCTAACAAATGTTGGATGGAAATGCAAGCCCTCTCATTACATTTTGTCTGTGGCTGCTTTTGTTCATAATTATAGTGGGAATAAGCTGCGCTCGAGACCCCGTGGCCTATGAAAGCTAAGGTATTGACTATATTGCCTTTTCTAGAAGCAGCTCATCAACTTCACATATATGGGGTGTGGGAGGTGGGGGGAGTAAGCAGAGGTAGTCTCCTATGGAGAATGAAGCAAGGTTATTCCAGGTGGGAAGGAGTTGTGGCAGACCTGGAAGTGCTGTTTCATGCAGTGAGGTCAGGAAAGAGTTCTCTGATTTGATGTTGGGGTAGAGATCTGAGGAATGAGGGAACCACTATGTATATATATGAAGGAAGAAGCCACCCTCCTGCAAATGCAGAAGCTCCAAGGCAAATGTCTGGCACATTGGTAATATAGCCAGGAGATCAGATAAGGTGTAGCAAGGGGAAACTAGAGAAGAGAAAGAGAAGGAAGAGAAAGGGAGCGAGATCATCAGGATATTAGGAGTTTGTACTATGGCAATTATGTCTATATTAACTCACAGGAGATCTCTGGACTGTAGTTTGTGTGAGATGGAAAATTATGATAATGTCTGAGCAGAATGAAATGACCCAAGTGGGTTTTGACACAATTTTGTGGCTACTGTGTTGAAAAACAGTAATGATCAAGATGTCAAGAAGGGGAAAAATGGAAACTGATCTAGGTATTTCAAGTGCAGTGGGAGTTTAGTTCAGGGAAAGGGTTGCACAGATGATGAAGAGACTGAGAAAGCAAACAGCAAATGAAACAACTCAGAGATCGATGCCAATAGCAGGCAGGACCTCTTAAGAGCAAGCAGGCCTACAGGAATGAGGAATGTCCTCAGCACCTCCCGGATGGGAAAAATACACATGGAGGGGACTATTCAGGAAAAACTGGCATCAGGAGGGAAGGCCTGTCCTGTAGAAGCCAATACCTTGAATGACAGTCATTACCATGGATCATCCAAACCCCAAAACAGAGGGGAAGTGGGGACTGACTCAGAAATACTTAGTTTTGCCCCTCACATCTCCCACTATTCTCATTTGGTTGGAGTTTGTCTAAACTAGTAGAGAGCTTGGGAACTGTGATCTGTTGGGAACATAAAACAGGCATTGGGGATATGGGGAGGTGAGGAATGGGGTGGGGGAGAAGAGGTCCAGGGCAGGAAGCTGAGGCCAGAAGAGACCTGAGAGAAACTGAGAGCCTGGCAGAGGCTTGAGGTGACACTGGCGCTGGGTGTCGGGCATAGCTATTATTGGTCTGCAGGTGAGCAATGGGGGCTTGGAAAGGTAAGCAACATTCCTGCAGCATGGCCCAAGTTGGACATGCTCGTGAGTTATATCCCACTCTGAATCTTGGGTTTTTCTACTCTTATGCACTAGCCTCTTAGGCTCCAAGGTTAGGCTCAGCTCTTCTTTCTAACCTCTCTTGGCATTCCGAAGCCCCTTTGAATCTCAGCCTGAGCCAGTGCTTTGACTGCAAAGGAAAGAAGAGCCAGGAGGGAAGATGTCAGTAAACTGGATGGAATCCCTTCCCTCTTATGACTCTAAGGGGCTGTTGACTGCTGACCATGGGCATTTATGTAAGACTCTGTGTTGGGGACAGACAGTCCTATTAACAGCCGAAGAAAAACTCAGAAAGAAATAGCCTCAAATAGGCAAAGGACCAGGTAGCCTCTTCTTGGTCTAATGTTGCATCTGGATTGCCACTTTCTCCATAGGAAGTGCCAAGCTCCCCCATTTCTCTGCAGGCCCTTACTAAATGCTGCATTGGAGGGACTAGTCCCAATTTGGCTCTTCAAAAACAAGCTGGATCGTGGAGGTTACTGCAGTGAACTTCCACTTTCCGTCCCTGACAAGTAGAGTTGTGAAGATAGGAACATGTGGTTTCATGCATAGTCTCTGGAAACTGGGCTGAGAAGCCTGATCCATCTAGGCTGCTACTCTGACTCACCTTTCTTTTCCTCATTGTTAAAATGGCAATAGGAGCAGACTAAGCACTGGCCTCAAAATCTCAAGAACTGGGAACTGAGGGTGTGGGAGGGCAAAGGGACTATGAGGTAATGATGGAGCTATCTTGAAACACTGGAGGAGGGATTGGTGAAGTCGCTCTGCAATTGTAAAATTACTTCAATTCTTTAGTAGCACTGTAGCATTGTTCATCGAGTTGCTCAAGCGGTCACCAGTAACGTCTCCATTGTGAGACTTTTTGTTACTGTTTTTGGCATATCAAATACGTCACAGGGAGCTTGCCAGGCCTTGCCATGCGGGGGAGATACTCTCGATAGCTTGCCAGGCTCTTCGAGAGGAACAGAGGAATTGAATCTGGGTCAGCCACTGTACTATCGCTCCTGCCCTCACTTTAAAACAAAGTGAGGTAGTAGTACCTCACTTTAAAACAAAGTAGTTCCTCACTTTAAGACAGAGAAAAAATTCTAGAGTGACAATAAAACATGAAACAGCAGTGGGTTCCTATGCACCTGTGCATCTGCCTTGGTAGCCTCTTTCATAAGGGACTGGGAACTCTACATAACTGAGTTAAAGTGACAGGTTTACTTTCAGCTTGCTTGATTAGGTAGGTGTCCCTGTGTGACCAGGTAGACTGGTTGCCTATAGCCCCTAGAATCAACTCCTACCATATATTTTTTGTTCATCCACCTCACCCAAATCTCCAGGAATATCTGCTTCCTCCATCTTCCTCTTGCTTTGGATTCTTACCCTGATAACTTTTCTCACCGGATCCTTTTCCCTTACCCACTGTGCTCTTAGTCACACATCCATGCTTCCCACTGTATGCTGGGGCACGACGTCCTCCTCTCACAAACTTACAAGTGCAGGAGTACAGTAAAGACCTTAACAAGTTCTGCTGTCCTTTGAAAGCGTGTCCATGTCAACCCAAATTTATTGATAACTCTTTTTAAAAATTTTATTTTATTTTATAAAGTTATTCACTGTATGATAACATTGGATTTGTTCTTTCAGCCTTGCCTCAGGGAACTTATTTTACCTTAAAGCAATGTCCTTTCTGTATGGATACAAAAAGACAGTTAATGTTATGCTTTGTAACTTGGGAGTTGATTGACTCCAATAAGATTTACTCTTAGGCATCTGCTTTCTCAACTCAGTTTCCCCTAGTTCCTTGCACCCCAAAAGCAGGGTCCCGACGAGAGACTGAATGGACCCGGGCAAACTGTGAGCTACTCTGGCATTGAAATGGGCCAGGCCAAAGTGCCAAAATGCTCAACTATAAGTTGAGAGCATGATCATAGACAAATGCCGTCATGATCCAAAAGTAACAATAAGTTGTATGAGACTAGGGCCCTGCTGGGGTTAGGAAGACTAACCTAACCTGAGGACTATGGTCTGAAATATATAGTGAGATGTTCTCAGGAAGAACCAAACTTTAAATTGATATATCTCTTAAACTGTGCTCATACAGAATGACATTGCTAGAAATATCAGAAGTAAATTTACTAGAACTATTTGAGTGGATTATAGCTGAGGAAAGAAGAAAGGGACACACCCTGGATGGGATCCTCCCCTTTTGTCCTTGTGTTAATTTTGTCCTTGAGTTAATCTCCTGGAGGAGTGGTCTTACCCCTCTTTGTTGATTTGTTAATGTTCGACCCACCTTTGTGTCACCACCCTATGTGATTACTATATAAACTAAGACTGTAAGAACGGAGGGGGTCAGAGTCAGAAACCAGGGGACAGAGTCAGAAGTGAGAGTGGGCCGGGCTCCAGAGAGAGAGAGAGAGAGAGAGAGAGAGACTGGAAGAGACCAGAGGAGAGACTACAGAGACAGAGTCAGAAATAGAGAGACAAAAGAGAGCACAGCGGCACACACAAAAGCAGTGAGTAAAGGAGGAGCCATCCCAATCTGGTCCATACACAGCGGCACAAGAGCACCGAATGCGGGTGGAGAGAGAGAGCTGTCTGGAGAGCCCACCGACAACTCACACTTTCCCATCCCTCCACACGCGTGTTTATATTTTTAACAGTTCACAATAATTTATTACATTCAATATTTAAACACCAATCCCAT